GAGGGGGACAACCTGACAATCAGCCCCAAGTGCTACACTCCTCAGCCGGACTCCTTCCACATCTTCCGAGATGCTGTCACTGGAGACATTCCATGGCCAGGAACTGCATTTGGAATGGTTATTACAGCTATGTGGTACTGGTGCACAGACCAAGTAAGTGAATAAGTGTGTGTGTGTGGGAAGCATCTAGGTTCTGGTTTCTACACACAAACATAATTTTTAAATCCAAACATTTCCACAAGACCAGTGAAAAAAAGCTTCCTGGTGCCACCCCCTTGTTGTATCATGTCCCTCTGAAGCAAACAGAGCAGGCCCCTTCAACTAAATGTTTTCCTATTTATCATCATTCTTCTTGTACTGAGAGTGTGTCTGTGAACCATAAGCATAGACATGACCTTAGACCTCATTAGAAGTAAATGCTCTCAGACACTACCCTATCCTTTATTCAGTCCAATTTTAGAAAGAAAGCAGGCTGAGCAACCCAGTCAGCAAAATTCTTCCATAGCTTCTGCTTCAGTTCCTGCTTCCATGTTCCTGCCTTGAGTTTCTTCTCTGGTTTCCCTCAATGATGGATCTATATGCTATAAGGTAAAATAAACCCTTTCTTTCCCAAGTCGTTTTTGGTCATTGTGTTTTGTCTCGGCAATACAGACCCTAACTAAGAAACCCTAACAGAAATTTGTACCAGGTCATGGAATAGTGCTCTGATGGACCTGACTGTGTATTTTGGGAAGGATTGTGTTAGCATTTGAACTTTGGGCTAGTAAATACATTGAGTGCTCAGAGCAGTGGGCTGTTCCGTGGGAGTTTGGAAAATAAGGCTATGGAGAGAAGGGCAGACAATGAGGGCTACCTTATAAAGTTCCAGAGGGAAGCTTGAGAGTCCTTTAAGAATTCCATCAGAGCCATTTGATATTTTGAATTTAGCATCATTGAAATGAGACCTTTGCTTTACTAGGACAGTGGATGCTGGTCAGCTGGGGCTTTGAAATGAGCCATGATTAAGAAGTATCCAGCATCATTGATGTGAAGTGTTCTGGGAAGTGTTTCCTTAGGGCTGACACACAGAAGCTGTGGCCCAGAAGCAAGGCTGTACCTAGCGCTGGCAGCCAAACTTAGTAATGTGTAATAGTTTTCCAGGTGGTACTGGTTTTGAAGTCATGAAGGGGCTGTGGGGAGCCACTGAGGCTTGGCACTGGGAGAGTTCAGGAGAAGGTATTAATAAAGGTGCAGGCTTCGTTGCAGTAGAAGCCTCGGGATTGAGCGGGCCATGGAAAGAAGTTGGAGGCTTGGTATGATGTGACAAAGTCAGAGTCACCCAAGAGAGGCCAGAGCATGATACTGGTGAAGGTGCAGTTCAGTTGCAGTAGAAACTCCAGCATTTTGAAGATGCAAAGATCACAAGATGATTACCAAGGGTAGAAGCAGGAGTCGGGTGGAACCTGCCCGAGCCTAGGAGACAAGCTGCATGTGCTTCTGTCTTAGGATTCATATTTGCTGGGATGAAACACCATGACCAAACAGCAAGTTGAAGAGGAAAGGGTTTATTCGGCTTACACTTCCACATCACTGTTCATCATCAAGGAAAATCATGGTAGGAACTTAAGTGGGGCAGAACCTGGAGGCAGGAGCTGATGCAGAGACCATGGAGGGCTACTGCTTACTGGTTTGCTTCCCATGGCTAGCTCAGCCTGATTTCTTATAGAACTCAGGACCACCAGCCCAGGGATGGAACCACCCACAGTGGGCTGGGCCCTCCCCCATCAATCACTAATTAAGAAAATGCCTTACAGATGGTTCTCATGGAGACAGTTCCTCAAATGCGTCTCCTTCCCCTCTGATGACTCTAGATTGTGTCAAATTGACATAAAAATCAGCTAATACAGATCCAGATGGCAGGTCCAGTGAAGAGCTGCTGCCCAAGCCATTTGTAACTCAGAGGATGATGAATGGGTTCCAGGCATCAAGCACTGAGCTTATAACACTCTTGAGTCTTAGTTTTGCTTTGATATGATTGTGACTGTGATTCTTCCTGCTTTGGGTAAGAACTACATACTTCTCATTTTTTTTTGGATCCCATAGTCAAAAGAGACTTTGGAATTTTAGAGAGACTTTGGCTATTTTAGAGAAACTTTATACTTTAAAAAAAACTTTGGGCATGATCTTGGAGGAAATGGAGAGGGGGAACCATAATCACAATATACAATATGGAAAAATCCATTTTCAATAAAAAATAAGAAAAAAGAATACTTTGAATTTTTTAAGAAACCAAACTGTTAAAATGTTTGAAATTTTAAACACGGTGGGACTTTTAAAAATTAGAATGTTTTATATTGTGATATTAATATAAATATGAGATCTTGGGGATAAACAAGGAAGAAAAGGTTATAGTTTCACAGTGATGTGCTTGTGTGTCAAATTGAAAAGGGGTCAATTTTGCTACATAGTTTTGTGTCAACTTAACACAAGCTAGAGTCATTTTGGAAATGTGAATCTCAGTTGAGAAAATGCCCCACCAGACTGGCCTGTGGAAAGGCCTGTGGTGCATTTTCTTAACTGATGATTGATGTGGGAAGTTCTACTTCACTGTGGGCAGTGCTGCCTCTGGGCTGAGGGTCCTGGATGCTCCAAGAAAGCAGGGTGAGCAAGCCATGAGGAGCAAGCCAGTGAGCAGCACTCCTTCATGGCCTCTGCTCTACTTCTTGTCTCCAGGTTCCCGGATTCCTTCCCTGGCTTCCTTCAGTGATGGACTTATAAACTGTAAGGTGTAATAAATAATTTTCTCTCCAAATTGCTTTTGGTTGTGGTGTTTTATCACAACAGTAGAAACCCTAACTAAAGGCAATTATCAAGTGAAAGAATCCCTATTTTTGACAATGTTTTAGAAGAAAATACCAAGAAGTTGTAGTTTTATGAGAAGCTTGGGATATACAACAGTAGAACATCTGCCTGGCAAATACAAGACCCTGGGTTTGAACACTCAGCATTGCAAGAGGTGTGAGGAGAAAGGAGAAGTATCCAAGACATTATGGAATTGTTTTATAAACCATGCTTTTCTACAGAACTCTTGAGAGATTTGCATAAGTTCAGTAGGAATTTAAAATTATATGTATTCTTCTTTGAGGATCATCATAACTAAATATGATTCATAGCTAGGTGTTCTCAGAACATTCTGAAATAATCTACATGGATGTCTCATTGGTCTACTTACTGCCTGATTATTATGTTCCCATAGAAACAGGCATGTAGTTCAAATCTTAAATGGTCTTATAGTTAAAACCCAGTACTAGATATTGGGGTGAAAGCTGAAAGATCAGAGAATCAAATCAAGCCATAGGCCAACCTCCCCTCACCAACTCCTCAGCCAATCCTGTTTCCATGAATCCTCAGACTGAAAGCCTCTGGGTCTTCACACAAAAGGCTTCAGCCAAAAAGAGCCTTTAGTTCCTGTCTCCTCAAGCCTTATATAACTTTCTCCACCCTGCCATATTACTTCCTGGGATTAAAGGCATGCGTGCTTCCCAAGCAAAGGCATGAGATCTCAAGTGCTGGTATTAAAGATGTGTTCCACCACTACCTGGCTCTGTTTTCTCTCCTAAACTGTGTTAATCTCATGTATTCCAGGGTTGCCTTGAACTCACAGAGATCCAGACAGATCTTTGCCTAGTCAAAGAGGCAATTAACTCATAACCACACAAAGATCCTGGTGATGCCAACAATATTTATTCACTGCTTAAAACACAACATAAGGCAGTATTACTACTATAGGGTGCTGTTGATTTTTTTCTGCTGTTTTGAGGGGCTTACCACCCAGCTCCCAAATAAATCACACATGGAGGCTTATCCTTAATTATAAATGCCTGGCCTTAGCTTGGCTTGTTGATATCCAGCTTTACTTAACTTAAATTATCCTTTCTAGCTTTTGCCTTCAGGTTTTTACCTCTCTCTATTTCTGTATACATTTCATTGTTTCTTACTCCATGACTTGCTGTGTAGCTAGGTGGCTGGCCTTTGATGTCCTCCTCCTTCTCTAGCTCCTTCCTTCTTTCTCCCAGATTTCTACTTCTATATATTCTCTCTGCCTGCTAGTCTTGCCTATCTTTACCTTCTGCCTTGCTATTAGCTGTTCAGTTCTTTATTAGATCATTAGGTGTTTTAGATGGTCACTGTAACACAGCTTCACAGAGTCAAACATATGCAACATAAAAAAAGCAACACATCTTAAAACAGTACTCCCCAACAATAGGCATTATCCAATGCAGCCTGGACACCCTATGCATTCTCATGAACATAGGCACATACTTGTCACAGTACACCCTTAGAGATCAGAGGACAAGCACAGATGTCAGTCTTCACATTCCACCTGGATCTTTTGGCCACTGATTCATATGCCAGGCTAGCTGGCCAGAAAGTTTCCAAGGATTTTCCAATCTCTGTACTCCATTAGCCATAAGAGCACTGGAATTACAGACACATGCCACCCTGTCCAGGTTTGCATGGGCTCTATGGACCCAAATCTGGGTTCTTGTGCTTTTATAGAAAGTGAAACCATCTGAGACATCTCCCTGGGAGCTTCTAAACATATTTTAACTATAGCTAATATGTATTGACTTACCTATGCCAAGGGTCTTACATGTATTGCTCATATTCAGAATGTTATGAGAGGGGTAAGATTGCTTGAGGAACGAAGCCACATAATATACAAATTAAATGGTATTTCAAGTCATAGTTTCCTGCAAAGCCCATTAGTTTCCACCAACACCATCACTTCTCATTGCCATTTTAAACTCTGAAAGACAGCTTGGACA